GAAGCCCCCGCTCGAGACATCCCAAACTTTTGCAAAACCAGCGTTTCCCTTGAGACATCCTCAACAAAGTTTGAAAAAAACAAGCGTTTCGCTCGAGACGTCCGGCCGAATTAGTCGAGACATCCTCGAAATTCCTGCGCGCGGGACGCGGCACGCGCGAGACATCCTCGGAATTCCTGCGCGCGGGACGCTCTTCCGCGTCGCGGTCGGAGCTCCAGACCTCGTCATTTGTCAAGGATTCTGCGAAAAACGCTCCGCACCCTCTTTTTTACGAGGGAATAAGGGGGTCTGCGGACACAGTTTCTTATCGAGGATCCGAGATGGGGGTGCACTTTCCTCGAGCGGGCACGCACGAAACGCACTTGTTCGACTGAAAATCAGCACTTTACCTCGTTTTTTACGAAGAATAATTTCGCCGGCCCCCTTCAAGTCGAAACCGGGGGGTAAACCTACTAAAAGAGAACCCTGGGCCGACGCCCTTTCCGGGAATAACCTTCACAGAGACTGCCTGAAGCAATCCCCAGCCGTTCCCAGAGCGCTTCCAGTGAACAACTGGAGGAAAATGCCAAGAAGGCAACAAAGCGTTCAACAACAGCTTCAACATCTCAATCTGTTTTGCTCATCGCCAGCCGCCCTAGCATGACGTTCCCGAGTGTCATCAAGACGGCGCCCGAACATCCCAATATAGCTCTGATGTATCCCATTATGATGGAGAGGGGGCTGGCAGCAGGGGGCGAAGCCCTTACGGATTACAGTAGAATCGATCCGTCGGAAGTCTGGATAAAGATTTCGAGCCAGAGGTCACCGAACTCTGCGCTTCGCATCACGCCAAGCGCGGTTCTTGTCGCATTGCCGCGCCTCCCCGCAGAAAATTAAGCAGGAAAGTACTACAGATACGTTTCGTGACGACCCGTTGGCGTCTGACACCTCGTGGATCGACCCTCTTTGAACGCTCGCGGCATTCCGAGAAGGCGGATCGTTCGATGTAAGCCGAATCTGGGCCACTGGCGGCATTCAACCTTGACCGCCGCGCTGGGGTCGCCGCCAGGTCAGCACGGCACGAACCTGCCGTACCTTCGCGCCCCTGCGCGTGACCTGATGTAGGAGGCCCCTTGCTTTCTACCCTGACGACTGGGCGGTGTGAGGCTGACACAGCGGGCGTCGCTGCGACCAGACCCCAAGCGGCTTGGGCACTCACGCACAATAAGTGCGGCAGCGGATTCATATACTGCATTTCACGCAGGCGCGATGTCTGTTCAAGACGTCGATCGTCGGGGTATCCAGTGCCCAGTGGTGCCAGCAAAACAATAAGACAAACTCAAGCCAAGCATAACGGAAGAAACACTCAAGGACTGGCTACCCGGTATGCGCATGGGCAGTCCTCAGGGCTCGTCAGGGTATGCAGGATTGACGTCGACATGACATTTGTGGGTGGCGTAAGAGGGTAGGGGTCCGGACTATGGTAAGAATCGAGAGCGGAGAGGAGAGAGTGGGCGCAGGGGGTAATCATCAAAATGACACGACGTTCTGGCTACCTTCCCACGGTTTCGGAGGTTCAATGAAGCCCCGCGCTCCTCAGGACGATCCCAAAGGGTTGCCAACACACGCCACTTCCGACATCTCAGTCTCTTCGAGGCTTGCGCCCTAGAGTTCTCGCCGCCATCCCTGGAACATGTTTTCGTCGCGGATCTGTTGCGGCGGGCCCCAGAACACGACGAGGGCTGCCACGACGCGGAAACATGGAGGACCAAAGAACGCCAGTGGTGTTTTTCGATGCCTCGTCCTTGTCCTCATTCCATTCTCTCCTCAATTTGCCTCTACCTCATCACCTCTCGTCCTCCTCCTCCGCCCCTCGTCCTCCTCCTCTTCCTCCGCTCATCCCTATCCTCTTCCCAGCAAATCCCTCCTCCCTCCCTCATCCCCCTCGCCATCCCGCTCTTCCTCCTCCTCCTTCTCCATTTTGGCGCTGCTCGGACTCAGATATGAAAAAAGAAACATGTAATTGAAACCCCGACTTGGAGAAGAGGTGCATGAACCCCACCTGGCAGGCGCAGCGGCATATGAAGAAATGAAGTGCGGCGACGAGTAGGATCCAGAGCAGGCGCCTGTCGAGTGGTAAAACTCGGCTATCTTGACCTTGGTGTGCCCCCTTTCCCTTCCACCTTAGGGCCCCTCGATGTTCAGTCTAGAGTAGCCGAGTAAGTGCAAGGCTGTGCTGGCTGGCCCAAATAATGTCGGCAGGAATGGAAATGTGTGTGCAATATCGCCGTTCTTTTGGTAGATATAGGGTCAGCCGTACGGGGCTGGCACAGCCTGCATTGGTTGGCCCAAGTGCAATTATTGGGCTGCTACCCATGCAAACTAGGGTGAAACACGGAGCCGTTCCGCGCCCCCAGACAAATGTACAACTAGAGAGGCAGACAGTATGCTGCATGCTGGCTTAAAGTGGCTGACAGAAGAGATGTGGGAGTGGCACAATTAGCGCTAGCTGCCCTAAAGGTAATGCAATCCTGGGGCTGCTACCCTTGCTCAGGTAAATGTCATATCCCTCCCCAGCGAACACAGCTTCGCCTACCCCTAGCCAACCGCGTCCCCTGTCCGATGCTGGCGTAGGGCAGCGATAGAGGTACCACGAGGAAGGTAAGCTGGGTGCTTCAGATTGGCTAAGGGTGGCCTGCTGAGGGGCTGGCACAGATGTGCGAGCTGTCCCAAAGGCAATGCAATCCGTGGGCTGCCACCTTTTGCCCAGGCTATCGTGATACACAGGCGGGCTGAGACTGACGAAGACTGACTCAGTCGATGTCAGACGATAAGGGGTGACATGTACTCTGCAGGTTGGCTTACAGTGGCTGGCTGAAAGGATGTGGGACAGGCACTGGATGAGCTATCTCTCCCCCACATCACGCAATCCTGGGGCTGCGACCATTGCCCAAGCAACGCGATCCTCCACCACCGTCCCACACGCCCAAAACCCAATACCCAAGCCCACCCCCCCAATCCCAGAATGAAGCAGGCACTGAATAGATATTGTCGGAGGCGATGAAGCAGGCACAGAATGAAGCAGGCCCCCCATAAAAAAAAACATTTCTGTGAAGCACATGCATGTGGAAGAAGGGCAGGCAAGCGTAAATGGCAGAGCTGTCGCCGTCAGATGCGGGCAGTAAGAATAAGTGTGCAGTGTATCCTTTCTTGACGTGGGTTCTGCGTCAACGGCAAGGGGCTGGCACAGACTTTGCAACGATTGGGCTGCAACCCATGTCCAGGCAAGAGTGAAGGACAGAATCCTCCTCCTCATCCTCCCCCTCTTCCTCCTCTACACTCTTCGGTCCTCCCCCTGCCTCCTTGACCTCCTTATCCCCCCTCCTCCCTGCACAATTCCACAATACCCATACGACTCTCCTCACATCTCTCCTTTGACTGTGTGCGGGAATGGTCGTCCCTCTACGCGTGCAACATTCGCCACATAAGATGCCAAACAATGTTATTTGTCATACGCGTTGTTTTGCAATCCGATTGTTTTCGAGGCTTCAAAACAGTGGGCCGTACTTTCGGATCGGCACTTTGCCCCCGTCGTTCAGACTGGCGCGGCCACTGTTGTGGATCTGAAGTATTTTCGTCGTGTGCGCCCCTCACATTCCCTTCCTCCCCTGGTCCTCCTGCTCCTCCCACTCCTTCCACTCCAATTCCTGCTGCTGCTGTTTGTCTTTGTCCTCCTCGTTCTCCATCCTCGTCCTTTTCTTTCAGCTCATCCACCTGAACATCCGCCACCTCCTCCTATGTAAGCAACTCTCCCCTTCCGATTGCGCATGAAACGATGGGGTCATGCTTGGAGTTCCAGGTCGGTTATGAAAGGCGTCTACGGATAGAGGGAGAATGGGCGCCATCGGAAGGGATGAAAAAAGGGATCGCACCAAGCTTGTCCTCCCCCCTCTCACTCCTCCATTCTGCCTCTCCAACCACACCCGCCTCGAGGGTTGCCTACGGCGACGACCACCACTTTCACGAGAACAACCACGACAACGACGAAGGCGGCTGTGACGGCGGGGGCGGCAAAGGCGGCGGCGGCGGCGACGACGACGACGACGACGACGATGACGGCGGCGGCGACGACAACGACGACGGCGACGGCGACGGACGATACTCGCACCTCTCCCGAGGCGCGCCCTGACTGAACCCTCGAGGCGAATCTGGCCTTGGCGTCGAGGGCGCTCCTGGAGACCCCAAAACGCTCTCGCTCTTCGACAGCGACGGCGACAAGCACGTCGACGACCACAACGACTACCACCACCACCACTCCGACGACGACGTCGACGTCGGCGGCGGGGCGACGGCGGCGACGAGGCGACGACGATCACAACCAAGACGACGACGGCGACGAAGCCACCACACCACCACGGCGGCGGCGGCGGCGACCAGGCCGTCCGGCGCAGTCGCCCTCGGCCAGCTCAGCCGCTGGCCCCCGCACGCCCTCCCCGGCGGGCGGCCCTGCAGGATCGCCGTCGTCCAAAGCCGCGCCGCGCGCGGCGCCTGTGTGCGAGCATGCGGCATGCGGGAGCGGCGGGGAAGACAAAGGCCGACGGCGACGGCCCCGGGCGCGCCGGCGTCTCGGAATCGGAGTCCTCCTGACTTCGCGCACCGTGCCCCGCGGATACATCGTCGCGCCCTCGCGCCGTCCCTGGAGCAGGCTGGTTCGGCGGCCCCGGCCGCGACGCGGCGAAGCGTGTGTCTCCTCGCGCCCCCGCGGGCGACCTGGGCTTCCTCGCTTCGGAATGGTCTCTGGCAGCTGCGCCTCGCCGAAAGCGCTCCAGGGGTGCCCACATCGTCCCGAACGGCCGCCGGAGGCCCGGGTTGTGGCCCGAAGGCCGGCGACGGTGGCGTCATGCCGAATGTTGCCCTCGGCCCTTGGGGATCGGCGAGGGAGGCCGTCGACGGTTTGGCCCCATTTTGCCCGCAGAAGTCTCTGAAGGCGTCAAGGGCTCTCCAGGGCCCTCCAACAATGGACCTCGGGCGAAAATAAAAAATGACGACGACGATGACGACGACGATGGCGACGGCGGCGACGCGACGACGACGACAACGACGACGAAAACCTCCTCCGCATCATCATTTTTTTGGTATTCGGGTGCCCCTCGTCGCCACGGCTGGACGCGGCTCGGAAAGCTGGCCAGGATCACCCTGGAAGGTCTTCAGGCACAGATGTTTCCCAATATTTGTGTCAAACGACGATGACGACGATGGCGGCGGCGACGACGAAGTCGATCACGACGACGTCGGCGACGACAGACACAACGAGGACCAGCACTACTACGACGAGAGGGAAGGGGTTGAGGAGGGATCAGATGAGACGGGGTTAGGGCCTGTATCTAATGATGTTTTGAAGAGGGTGCGCGGTTCTGGGGGGGACGAGGGACATCAGAGAATGATATAACCGAGGAGGACGAGGAAAACGGAGGAGCAGGAGCAGGAGGCGGAGGAGGAGGCAGTAGCTAGCGGCAGGGGGGAGGGGCAGAGGGAGGGGGCAACCAGGTCTTCCGTTCCAAATCTCTGCCAGGGGCCCTCTGGCTTTTAAGAAATTCCAGTGCGGGACCGGGAAGTTCGGGGGAAGTGCCACTGATATAATGAAATTGAAGAGAAGGAGGAGGGGGACTTTGTGCAGGAAAACCGGGGAGGCCACGAAAGAAGAGAAGATGGCGAAGCAACAGGAGCAGCAGCAGCAGCAGCACCACCACCAGCAGCAGCAGCAGCAGGGCTGACCCCAATGGGGAGGACGGGAGGAAGCGGCGGCAGCGGCGGCAGCAGAGAGGCGCGTGGCGCACGGGCCCGACACAGCGGTGGCCGCAGCCCAGTCCACGAGCTCCTGCTCACCCCGGAGCAGCTTCTCGTCCACCAGGTCTTCGATCCCCACCGCAGTGACCTGGGGACACGACGCAGCTACGCGCAATAGTTGAAGAAAGAAGCAACAGCATAAGCATAAGCCTTCTGAGGTCCACGCAAATGCTTCACCCCCCCGGCGGCGCCTCCACCGCAACCCCTGGCACGCGGAACGCGCCATTGGCGGCGTTGGAGGCACAACCATAAAGGTCCAACGCTGATCCAAGAGATCCGCACGGACATCCGAAAGTCTATACTTATGCAGTTGTTTCTTCTCCCAGGCTCGGCTGCATGCAGGAGAGTGACCCATAGGCAAGGAGTGGCCTCTGGCGCGCGGCATCCCAAGAAGGCGCTGGACCCGTGTGCACCCGACGACTCGGGGCCCTGACTTCTGCATTCCTCCGCTGATGCCCCGCGCCGCCCTTGCTGCCCCGCGCGCCCCTCCCGCGATGTGAGAATGTATTTGTGGCCTCAACAAATTCTCTCCTACATCCTGGGGCACCTCCACGAGCGTCACGAAGACGACCGCGATGGGCCAGAACACCGCCGCGAGCGCCACAACGACCGCGAGGAGCCCGAGAAACATCGTTCCCGTGAGGTGAGAGGGGAGGAAGAGGGACCCGGAGGCCAGGCGCTAAGGTTGCGCAGGCAGGGGTTGGCGATGCAACTGAAGCCGCCCAGCACAGAGCCGGAGACATCCAACAGCCTCGTTCAAGGCACAGCCGCTGCAAGCAGGGCACGGTCGCCACATGCGGGGCACAGTGCACAGCCGCCACAGGCAGGGAAGCCCACCCAAGGCACAACCCCAGTGAGGTCCCGACCCACTCCCCCGGGCAGCTTGCCGTCCCAGATTCAGTTTTCATGGCCCCAGGGCCCGAAAGCGGCCCTGCCACGCCGACGCCTGGGGCCGCGGCAATCTAGCGTCGCGCCGCAGTTCGTGACCAAGCCGCAGGAAGTGCTGGCTGACTTCGAAAAGTTAGCAAATTTCATGCATGACTGCGCATCGGGGCTCGCACGCGGACGCCACGTGGATCGTCGACGCCCCACCTTCGGTTGCGGCGGCCGCGGAACTGATTGAGGACATGGTTCACGTGTTGGACTGGGGCCCGCGGTTCCGCGACGCCATCGAAAAAAAACGCTTCGCGGCAGATTTCATGGGCTACGATTCCGTCGCGACCGCCCTCAGGGAGATTACCGACATGATCAATATTAAGCGCGCTGCAATCTATGCAATATTAAGCGCGCTGCATCTATGCAACGCGGCGTCGTCGATGGGGAGCCAGAGACTGCTGTCGCGGCAATTGGCGCAGCTGTCCTGGCTGCGGGCATCGCTGGTTCGGCGGTGCCCGTGGCCTCAGAGGGCTTCGAGATACTGGGGGTGACCGAGAAGGAGCATTGGCAGCAGCATGTCGACAAGACGGCGCGGACTTACATCAAGTGTGCCGTGGGGGACATGAAATCCGAGTCTGAGATCGAACTTGCCATCAAGAACTCGCCCTTGGCCATGATTCAGGGGGACCCTTCTGGCCTGGTGCTGTAGCACTATGACGTCGAAGCCCACGGCGAACCCCTCGCCAGGCCAGAGCTCCGTATCAGACCGTTGAGGGATGTCGCATGTAACGAGCTCGTCAAGTCGGTCCTGAGCGCCCAGGCGCCCGCTGGAGGTCAGCCACATCTTCGTCCGGCAGAGGCGCCGGTGGCGTTTGATGGAGGTAGGCGGGGGAACGTGAACAAGCTGCAGGCGCCCTGGAGGGAAGGAATGCGGTGGGCCGGCAAGACGAAAGAGGGCTATGAAGAGGAACCCGTGGACGACGAGGATGATGACAAGCCGAACTTTACAGTCTTCACGATGCACTTAATATGTGCCGAGAGCTCGATCAAGGCCCGGCGACAAAAAACGCGCGGCTGCATGGCCAGCGCCCACCAGTCCGAATCAGTCACGTTGATGTCGAACAACGAAATCAGCCTCCCAGAGCGCAGTCGCAAGCACTGGCCAGGATCCACGAGCGGGGACACCATCTATGGGATCGAGGCCCCCGACATCTCCAAGGGGTGGGCCCTGACGTGGAAGGAAAAGAGGGAACATCTAGGGACAAAAACATGATCGATCCACGAACCCAGAAAGGAATATAGAAATGTAAGGCATGGCAACGTTTCAAAGACACCTGATTGGGTGACGGGCAAATGCAATGCTGAGTGTATCGATCTTGATGTACCGTGCCGAGGGCTGTGCTGTGCTGTGCCGTGCTGAATTGCGATGTGCCATGCCACGAGTGTGCTCTATAGCCTCGTGGATCGAGTCCTCCTTTGCATCCGAGTCCTGACCGAACTGATCTGGATCTTAAGCTCGAGCTGCCTGAACACATAGTAGCTGCCCCAGAGCTAATGGACAGGAGGACATGCCAGGAGGACGCGACGCGGAACGTCTCAAGGGATGCGCCAGGCGACGTGGACGTGCCATGGGGTCGCACCGCGGGACGTGCCAAGGAGACGCGCTACGGAACGTGCCAATGGATGTGCCACGGGATGTGCCAGGGGACGCGCCACGCGACGTGCCAGGGGGACTCGCCAAGGGACGCCCCACGGAACGTGCCAAGGAACGTGCCAAATTGCAATGCTGAGTGTATCGATCTTGATGTACCGTGCCGAGGGCTGTGCTGTGCTGCGCCGTGCTGAATTGCGATGTGCCATGGCGCGATTGTGCTCTATAGCCTCGTGGATCGAGTCCTCCTTTGCATCCGAGTCCTGACCGAACTGATCTGGATCTTAAGCTCGAGCTGCCTGAACACATAGTAGCTGCCCCAGAGCTAATGGACAGGGGGCCATGCCAGGAGGACGCGACGCGGAACGTCTCAAGGGACGCGCCAAGCGACGTGCCAAAGGACGTGCCATGGGAACGCACCGCGGGACGTGCCAAGGGGACGCGCTACGGAACGTGCCAATGGATGTGCCACGGGATGTGTCAGGGGACGCGCCGCACGACGTGCCATGGGGGACTCGCCAAGGGGCGCCCCACGGAACGTGCCAAGCGAGCGTGACGTGAATCCTCGGAATTCCTGCGAACGGGACGTGAAAACAAGCATTTCGCCTGAGACATCCTCTGAATTCTGGTCACCCACGAGGCCCCCGCTCGAGACATCCCACAATTTTGCAAAGCCAGCGTTTCGCTCGAGACATCCTCAACAAATTATGAAAAACAAGCGTTTTGCTCGAGAAATCCTGTCAAAATCCCAAGAAATCCTCGCCAAACAAACGAATTTGTTCAGACATCCTCAGAATTCCTGCGCGCGGGACGCGGCACGCGCGAGACATCCTCGGAATTCCTGCGAGCGGGACGTGAAAACAAGCATTTCGCCTGAGACATCCTCTGAATTCTGGCACCCCACGGGCCCCCCGCTCGAGACATCCCCCCAATGTTGCAAAACCAGCGTTTCGCTCGAGACATCCTCAACAAAGTTTGAAAAAAAACAAGCGTTTCGCTCGAGACATCCTGTCAAAATCTAAAGAAATCCTGGCAACTAGCGTTTCGCTCGAGACATTCTCAACAAACTATGGAAAAAAAAAACAAGCGTTTCGCTCGAGACATCCTGTCAAAATCCCAAGAACTCCTCGCTAAACAAACAAATTAGTCGAGACATCCTCAAAATTCCTGCGCGCGGGGCGCGGCACGCGCGAGACATCCTCGGAATTCCTGCGAGCGGGACGTGAAAACAAGCATTTCGCCTGAGGCATCCTCTGAATTCTAGCCCCCCACGAAGCCCCCGCTCGAGACACCCCCTCAATTTTGCAAAACCAGCGTTTCGCTCGAGACATCCTCAACAAATTCTGAATTACGCTGCGCCCGCACTCCCAGGGCCGCGATCCCTTGTAAATTACACTGCGTCCGCGCTCCCAGGGCTACGATCCCTCGTAAATTACACTACACCCGCGCTCCCAGGGCCACGATCCCTCGTAAATTACGCTACGTCAGCGCTCCCAGGGCCACGATCCCTCGTAAGGGCTCCTCGGCCCTCCTGGGTCTTCCTTAGACCTCTTGGGCCCTCCTGGGCTCTCCTGGAGCCTCCTGGAGCTTCTCCTGGGCCCTCCTTGGGCCCCCTGGTGCCTCTTGGAGCCTCCTGGGTCCTCCTGGGCCCTCCTGGGCTCTCCTGGGCCCTCCTGGGCTCTCCTGGGCTCTCCTGGAGCCTCCTGGGCCCTCCTGGGCGAAGTCAAGGTCAGAAAACACATGGGACTTCCCACATTTCTGAAATTCGGTGCCACCTCTCACGCAGGTCGGCGGGGTCAGGATCCGAAAACACATGGGATTTGCCACATTTCTGGAATTCCGTGCCACCCCTCACGCAGATCGGCGGGGTCAGGGTCCAAAAACACAGAGATTTGCCACATTTCTGGAATTCCGCGCCACCCCTCACGCAGATCGGCGGGGTCAGGGTCCAAAAACACATGGGATTTGACACATTTCTTGTATTCCGTGCCACACCTCACGCAGATCGGCGGGGTCAGGGTCAAAAAACACATTGGATTTCTGCTGTTTCCGAACTTATGCAACTTCAAGAATGCAAAACTCTGTTCCCAGCGCCGTTCCGGAGGCCGCGGCACCTGGTTATTTATCGAGCGAACGCGTTTACCTAATTTTTTATTGTTTAAAGTCGATGTCGGAAAAAAGTGGACTTCACCTGTGAAATATCGAGGTTTCCTTAAAGGCACTAAAATTCCAAGAGCACGATCTGCGTGAGGGGTGGCGAAAAATTGCCTTCGTCCTCACAGTTGAAATCCGCCGGCCCCCTTCGACCTCGTAATTTATCGCACAAGAATTCCGCCGGCCCCCTTCACGTAAAAACCGGGGGTAAACCCACTAAAAGAGAACCCTGGGCCCATGCCCTTTCCGGGAACAAATCCGCCGACCCTGTCGGCGCGTGGAAGAGGCTGTTCCATTTGACTCGTCGTCGTCGTCGTCGTCGTCGTCGTCGTCGTCGTCGTCGTCGTCGTCGCGGTCGTTGTCGTCGTCGTCGTCGTCGCCTTCGCCGCTCGCTTCCCCCGTTTTCC